AATAACAAATACAAGAACAGTCAACGGAAAAAGTATAATTTAGTCTGACATAATTATACACAACGTAAAAATACTGTACGTATTGCACAAAAATTTGTGATTTTTATAAAATCAAGCATGTAATTACAATTTAACTTTTGTTGCCTTTTTTGTGTTTTCGGCGTCCTTTTCCTCCAATAAAGATGACAAATCGCTTTCCGATAGCTCGGCAAAAAGAGCCATGTTGACATTTCAAAAGAGAAGACGATATTTTTCAATTTAAGAAAGCTCGATATATTTATCACAAAAACCCTACTCAAGAATCGCGAACAAAACCGGGTGACATTTAACCATGCAGTGAAATCCATGTCTTTTATTTGGAACGATAACATGCGGGAGAAACGTGAAGCCAAAGCCAACGCCACTTGACGCGCGCTGATTCCTGATAGACCGCCAGTGCATTTTTTAAGGTGATTCTTCAGTGGTGGGGCAAAACTGCCAATGGGCCCATTTCCCTTGCCCTCGCCCTGGAATAGTATGCGATCACCGAAGGTGTGAGGCGAGTTAGCGTGTTAGCTAGGGGGGTCATGGCCCCCGCAGGAAATTTTTAAAATTTGTGTCTCTGAAATAGCATTTCCTGCATTCTGAGAAAACATTTTTTTAAAAAATCTCAGCTTTTCAAAACAAAGTTTTAACGCTAAACATTCAAATACAACATAAGTTTAATTGAGTATGCTCACCAACAAATTCTGTTTTTTTAAACTTCTTTTCAAAGTTAAACTCATTTAAGCCCGTTCTCCACTAGGCGAATTTATTCGCGCGAACAGATAAAAAGTAGGAAGCGATCCTACTTTTTCGCCGCGAATTTTTTCGCCGACCAATCGCGTTGCCGGATTTCGGTTTTCGCTTCGCGTCGCGCGAAAAAATTCGCCTAGTGGAAAACGGCCTTTACTCAATACAGGCCCTAGGGTTCTGGCTATTTTTTCTTTAGTGGTGGAGCAGAGGAAGGGGCCCAGTGAGGCAAATGATCCACCAGTCCATGGTATTAAAAAATGTCTTGTAGACCACGCGGTGATGGCGTATAAGGGGACTGAAATTGATGTATACTATATGGCGTGGAAATGGCGTGGAGAGCTGACGCCACTGCCCACGCGTTGCTTACGTGAGGGTTCACTTTTTAACTGCCAAATGACTGAATGTTATCGTTCTAGGTAAATAGATTGAGTTCACTGCATTTAACCACAGAGTAGAGACATACAGAGACGTAACTAGTGTACCCACTTTTTTGTGCGCATGCTCGGCAAGTTACTAGATGCATGCATCTGATTGGATGACGACCTGATGACGACTCACTTTGAACTTGCCTTGCACGCGCAGTTAATCATTTTTTTGCCCGGTCGCCTGAAAAAAAGTGGGTACATGAAAACATAAGCTTCCGCAGTGTTTACAACGGTCAGTTACGTCTCTGTATTACGGTGGCCCACAAGTATCACGGCAAATATTTTTAAAATTACGTTAACATAAAGTTCAAATTGACTGCAAAACAAAATTTATTGAACGGATAATCTTTATATTTACTAAAATAAAAAGTCACGGCAAACTAAAAACTCACGGCAAACTAAAAACTCATGGCAAAATAAAAACTCACGGCAAAATAAAAACTCACGGCAAAATAAAAACTCACGGCAAAATAAAAACTCACGGCAAAATAAAAACTCACGGCAAAATAAAAACTCACTGCAAAATAGAAACTCACGGCAAAATAAACACTCACGGCAAAATAAAAACTCACGGCAAAATAAAAACTCACGGCAAAAGTCACTCACGCAATGTTTCCACTTTGGAGAGAATATCCATTTCAAGTAAGATTATTTTCAAATGAAAATTTTTCCGAAATCTGAAACTGAGATATGTCAATACTGTCAGTTTGTCACTCCATGCACATGCAATGATATTTTTTACTATTACGTCGTTTACTGTGACAAGGGTGTTGGTGATAAAAATATAAATATATAAATTTGGGATGAATTTCAAAGAAGAGATTTGATGGAAAATGAAATTTAGATAACGTCGATGAATTTTTTAATGGTTAAAGTGGAAATCGCAATTGTTTCTTTGGTTGTTGTTGTGGAACTTTTGTGGTGAAAGATTGTCAAAATTTAATAACGTTTCGTCTCCTAAATTCTAAAATAATGGAAGACAGTGAAACAATGTAAGTATGTACAATGTCCCATCTGACAATAATGCAGGAAAGAGGGGAGGGGGCAAAAGGCGGAGCATTTAAAAAAGCGCGACCCGGGGGACGCGGGAATAACTTGAAACGACTGAATATTTAATATAACTGTTTTATTATGTGCACAAGGTCTGAATTCACAGACTTTGCTTTTCCGTTATTTTCAATATTTTTCTTATTTTGTTTATGTTTTTATCTTCGCTCTTTCGGTCGATTATTTTTCCACAAATATATATTTTTAACCATTTTAAATTGAATAACCATTTTAAATTGAATAAAAAATTCATTTGCTAACCTGTAAACAATTTGTGGGAGGTTTTCATTGTGTTTTTAATCCTGTAAGGGCTATAAAAAGCGAACAACTTGCCGTTTTCTCATTC